GTATGAAGTATATATTGACTTAATGAGCCATCATTTTTAGCCTAAATCGTATTTTGCACTAAAACCGATTTTTCATATTTTGATTTGGTGGGAATTTGATTTTTTAGTATTTTTATTTGAATCCAAATGGGGGGTACTTCTTTATTTACATTGTAAACTTAAGTAAATAAAGTAATATAAAAATAAATGAAAGTAAAAGGATAAAAACATTTACTTAAATATTGAAAATGGAAATAAGATATAGAGAAAAAAAAACAGTACTTTTTTTGTTTTTATTTTTTATTTTTTAATTGCATAAAAATTGGCTGCCGTTGAATTGCTGGAAAAAATCTGATTGGAGAGCCCAGCACGTGCCACGTGAAAGAGAGCGCTGTAGCGGCACGCTGACGTCAGCCTTGCCCTTGGGCCAGCTCTCTAGCCAGCCCAGTCTGTTGGGTCCCAACATCTGCCCGGCTTGCTTTTGTTGCTAGAAACCACTTTTTGGGCCAACCCCCCCCCAGCCCGAGTCCAGCCTTAGCTGCTGGAAATGCTCTTAGAGCCAATCAGATTCTTATAACCTCCCTGTCTCTACCAATCATTTGCTCCCAATTTAGGGTAATGAACCAAATTGTGTCCCATGTTTTCTTGCAAACAATTGCCCTTTGGAATGTACATTAATTTGCTCTGTGTGCCCTGTGTTGTTGTGCAGAACACCATCCTAATTAAAATCAAACAGAAGGTCATCTTGGTCATTTAATACTTTTGGGCCTTCACCCAAAGCTTGTTTCTCAACTGTTCCAGCCGAAGCTCAACTCAAATTCAGAGCTTGTAAGAAACCTAAAATGGAGGGCTTCCTGTGCGCTCTTTTAACCTTCTAAATTGCCGCAAAATTCAGATTCGGCTATTCACAGAATCACTGCAGATCCGTTTTTCTGCAGTTAAAAGCTTGAACCCATTGCTGCGGTTGATAAAATTAGGGGTGAGTTGTTTGTTTTTGTTTTGTTTTTCAGAATTCCCAATTTGAAAAATAACAAAAAATAAATCTTTATTTCAGGACAACAGTAAAAATTGGAACTTTGAATATTATGTTCCGAATGGGTTTTTATCAATTTGTCATCTTTATGTATGAGAATTCAAGAATTGTTCCTTTTTTATTGGAAACATTTTTGGGGTTCAGTTCTCAATTTGTCTCTAGGTCTCTATTATCATCACAAGCTTATAGTATCCAATCAGTGATTAGTTAATTGCTTTGAATGAATGGTTTAGCTTAAGTAAATTTTCTGTGAGCTTTGTTGAGATGACCCTGGGTTGTTTGTTTAATTGAGGTTTATTTTGTAGTTGCAATAATCTTCTTTCTTGCTGGTGGGTTTGATTGTGGTCAATTGGTGATGTAGATAATTCAATGCACATAGGCCAGTTAATATCTATGGATCAGCTGTTGTTACTGCAAATTCACTTTGCGAATTTTCGATCTCGATACATTTTCTTGATGTTTCATAGATAATTTTCTTGTTCAAACAGTTCCAAGTTTGCCAGTTATTAGTCTGTTTTCCTGGAATTTATGTGGATTGACTATCTATTCCAAATATTGATTTTCAGTTGAAAACCACTTTGAAAGTTTGCTCTTTCAATTGTTCAAAGCATGAACCTTGTTGGCGCACATGGACACAGCTTTACAGACCAAGCCTTGTAGATTTGGTGATAAGAATACTAGTGACATTGTTATATGCTTGAAGAATAGAGAAGGGATACCGAAACAGTTCTACAGCCATTCCTCTGTTCTCATAAATAAGAGCAAGTACTTTGCCAATAGGCTTTCTCATCCAGGCTCTAATAACTCTAATAATTGCATTGATATTTATTGCTCAGAGGTTAACTATGATCACCATGTCAACCTGTTGAGGCTTCTGTATCTTCCAACAGACTCAATTTTGGATTCATTCGACTCTGTGAAATCTGCCGTTGGTATTCTTCAGTTAGCCGTTGTTTTCCAGTGTGAAGAGATTGCATGCTGCTGCATCCATTACTTGGAGGCTGTTCCTTGGGAGGACAAAGAAGAGGAACTTATCCTAAAAGCAGTTTCCAAATTGGGTCCAATAGCTATGCCCATATTAGCTAGGATCCAACCTGTTGATTTAGCTGCCACCAAAGATGTTTTTGTCTCAGCAGTTCGCATTGCCACATCCATTGCTGGACCATGTCCTCCATTTGGCAACGAGCTTAAAACGTCTGCTCAAGAACAAGTTGAATTCATGTTAGGAGAAGACGAGGATGCACCGTTGGTCACAGCCGATGAGGAAGTAAAATCAGTGTTGAGATTGGGCCTATCCCAGATTTATTCATCATTTGAAAAGGAATTGTCTTCCCTGCTTTTGGAGCCCGACCTTGTGTCCGAGAGAGCAGAGGAGAAAATATTGCACAGCTTATCTGACCTTGAATGGATGTGTAACATACTTGGGAAGATGGATTTAATGAAGGATTTTGTCTCCAACTGGGCTGAAAGCTCCAGTAATGTTTTAGGGGTGGTTGAGAATAATAAACTTGATTCTTTTATGTGGGGTTTGAAAATAAAGCTCATAGAAATTACTGCTAAAGTCCTGGAAGCAGTTGGCTATGGCAATGTGATTCTTCCAACTCCAATCCGGTTGACATTACTAAAGACATGGCTTCCTTACATAAGGAAGATGAAGCCCCTTTTGGATTCGAAGGGCAGTGAGGAGACAGGTTTTCCGTACAAGATGAGTGAAGACTTGTGCCAGAGCATAGAAGGGGCCATGGTAACCTTGGTACTGGCATTGCCGTCGAACGATCAAGCAGACATTCTGGCAGACTGGATGGGAGCCGAGCAGGTTCGGTATCCCGACTTAAGTGAGGCCTTTGAGGTCTGGTGTTTCAGAACAAAGTCTGCAAAGAGAAGATTAGTGGAGGGCTTGGATGGGGCTGGCAATGCCACTGTTAGCCTCTGAAAGTTTTTGCTTGCTCACTTCTTCTTATATGTTGTAAAATTATTCGGTTCATGATGTTATTCATGTAATTTGACAGAATTAAGCTCCTTTCAAAGAATTGAGCTTTATTTCCATGCAGTTCCCAAGCATTACAAGTTCTATTTTTTTTTCCTTTTTTTTATTTTTTTTTTAAATATCACAATTAATGTTATGTAACTTGTTTCCCATTTGTGGTTAATTATAAAATGATTTTATTTCCACATGTTTATTTTATACTTATTTGGTTTTTTTTTCCTCTCTCATTTTTCAATGGTTTAAGGGAATAAAATAAAAAATAAATTCTTTCAAGGATATTTTCAAAACTCATAAAAAATAAAAAGAAGAAAAAAAAAAGAAGAGGATATTTTAAAAAAACGGCTGCACTTTCTTTATAATATATTTTTATAAAATTAAAATTTGTTGTTCTGAATTCTGATCCAAAAGAAAAAGGGGATGTTTCATTCTAAAACTTAGTTCTAGGTGGGGTCAGCATATTTTTGGGTGGGGTAAGAAAATGCATGACAATTAGGTGGTGGGGTCCATGGGTCCCTTTCGCACCAACTTCATCACCGACCG